GCAGTCTACTATATTGAGCGTGCGACCACACAATTTATCGATAACAGTATCTTATATCTAGGGTATTAACCACTCGCGATTACCGTAAGTTCCATTCGCTCTGTGTGATATTTGGGGATGATTCATTTTTCACTGGAACGAGGCTCTTGTAACGTGAATCATTTCAGCATATCGTATCTAGATTTGAAACAAGCTCACTGATATGTCATGCGGCAGCCATCACCGCGTGGGCCGGTGCACAGTTCTGACGCGACCTTTTCAAGGACTCCAAGCGGAGTAACATGCGATAGTTCTTCAGAAGGCCTAGTGTGAGTTTATTTCATATCAACTCGATCGTCATGGTGACTACGTTCGGTGTTACGATTGGTCCCCACTGAACTCTTCACCAATCGCAACTACTTTATACTTTTCAGCGTGTTATGAATATAGTTATTTTAAAAGAAGTCATGTCTTCGTAAGCGTCTTTTTAAAGCAACATCGAACAGATCGGGAGATGGACCAATGCATTTTGTTTTACAAGGGGATATTTATTGTGAAACGTATTTCTTATAGGCAGATGTAAGAACTCACTAACTTAACAAATTTTAAAGAAAACCTATGTCTAAATCAATAATATTTTAATTGTTCTACTGATACGATACGTTATATCTAACAGGAATTGAGACTTCAGTAGGCTATTACAGATAAAAAAATTACTTATATCGATCCCCAATGTTCGACGAGAACCTACAATAGGTCATTGTGAAAGAAAAAAAATTAGAGGGTCCATGAACTTGTAAACGAGGGTCCTTGGTTATGAATGTATATAAACAAATTTGGACTCTAATAGATAATCCAAATTTACTAAATTCTTTCTTTTTTAATTGCAAAGGTTTAAATAATATTAGTAAGTATGTAGTTAATTTTGTAAAGACACTTGTTGACATTGTTAAATTAAAGATATTACTTGTAAAATTCGCTAAGATACCTGGTGGTAGCAATACACTCCGAAACTGAAAACACTATTTATTCAAAGTATTTTCAAAAATCAATGTTACGTAAACAGGGGGTCCAGTCAAACAACTACTTTACCCCAAGTGTTGCTTAACCGTACTGTTTTAAGGATGCTCTGACGTCACCGCGAGTGCCAAATGCTAGGGTTGGCGGTCACACCAGTAGAATGACATATGTATGCAGGCCACTTACTCGCGGTCCGCGACCCCTGTAGTCTATTCACTAGATAAAATGCCTATGCCACAAGTAGGTAAATTGTTGATTGTCGATAATAGCGCACGCGTGTTGATTATCAATTTTCAGTATGGATAGTCAATTTATTTTAAGCGACTTTCAAAAAGGTTTTCGATTGGACTGATTTTTTATGGGTTATGCGATATCTTTGCCATTATTTTGTTAACTGATTTGATTTTTTTAAAAATTAATGTTTCTACTAATGGTTCTACTCAAGATACAAGTAAGTACATCATCATCATCACCACCAGCCAGTCCACTGCTGGACAAAGGCCTTTCCCATTGCACTCCACTTAGATCGATTTTAGGCTTCTCGCATCCAACTCATTTAGACGTAATGGTGTGTGTAATAGTAATTATATAGTTTCATGAGTGAAATCGCAAATCAAATCAATGTATGAGAATATAAATATATTATATTTTTTAGACTTTAAATTAACGTGTGACGTCCTTGATATTACAAATCTTGATTTGAGTGCAGACGTGAACTTGTTTGAAACCTTAATTGTATCAATAATGCAATTTTTGTTACTGTTAAGTCAAGGGTCCTTTAATGGTTCTATGTTTCAATATTAGACTTAATACTAATAATGATAGTCAGAATGTTGCAATCAGATAACCCGCATCCTCACCATCAACAACTTATTCATCGACGTAAGCTTTTAGGCAGGGGCAGTTCAAGTTCGAGCCCCGGTCGCACACCTCAAACAATTTCATTGCACGGATGGCGTAGTAGTTTATGCGGTCACTTCCTACTGCGCTGAGTGGGTTTGACCCTCACATCGGACAACACTTTGTGTGACCCACAAATTGTTGTTCTGAGACTGGGTGTCATTGTGTCCGTTTGAGTAGTAGGCTGTGGGGAGCCATTGAAGTACGATCTGAGCTTAGATCATACTCAAAGGGGTCGTATCGTAGTACCTGTGGGGCAACGTAAAAACAAGGCTGATACTCACACAAATGTAATATATGCTGGACACAAAGACACAATGAAATAATTGTCTCACAGTGAGTGTGGATTTGTTCCACAATGCTCAGCTCCGTCCATGCGGTCAGACTGACGTCATTGAATGACGGTGTTTGAGTGGTTTGATGAATACGATGTAAAATACAATTTTCTGCTAAAAAAAGTAATTATATTGATGATGATGTAAGTGCATGTGACAGATTTACAGTTCTATAGGTTTGCTTCTAGATTACAGTTCTAAAGTTATATACATATTGCTCAACATTGTGTCACTCATTTTTACACATATACTAAATATTAAATTCTACTCGGTTCTTTGATTCAAATAAGGCTAAACCTGCACCACGATACCTAGGTTGATAAACCTATATGCTGATATTATACATATTACTGTATTCATACATATTTCAGATATATTACATACCGACACAGAACAAATGGTCGTTCTAACAATACCATTATATTAGCTGGGTGGGAATTGAACCCACGAATTCTGACTCAGGATCAGTAATATACTCATCTTTCTGATAACGATTGAATGTATTATTATTTACTCAAATTTATTTCCACAAAAATTTGTATATTAAAGTCGACTGCCGGACATAGGCTTCTGCTTAGAAAGGAGGTTTTGGCCTACTATACCTCGTTCGAGAGACGGGTTGGTATAGGGTTTGTTTCAAGTTTTCCTTCTCTTTGCAGTGCTGTTGTCAGTGAAATGAATAGGGGTTGTGACACTCCGTATTCTTAATCCGTCACCACACGCAGTAGCTCGGAACCACTTATACATTTACTACATTGGGTTCGATTTCTGTACACGACAATATATTTTTTTTTACATATAGATAGTTATTCAGAATGTGTTTGTTGTAAAATCAAACATTCCCAAGTACGAGACGTCACGTCTATTGGATAAAAAAATAGGTTTTGCTAAGTATTTTTAACCTGGTACCTTTTTTATAGGATGTTAAAAATAGGCCTATAACTATAACAGAGTACAGCATTTTAAGAACTACTTATATAATATAAATACTAAGTGTTGCCCGCGGTCGGAATGGTGAAGAGGCCGCGCCGGATAATGAGCCCGGAATGCAGGCTCATTATCCGGCGTGGTAGGCACGGCTCGATATCCAGGGTTGTGCTAGCCAAGGCATGTGTCACCTACCGATTGACTCAGATGCTCAACGGGCACGGTTGCTCCGGTGAGTATCTGAATCGAATTGGATGGGACTGCACAGTGCCACCATTGCGGGTCCGACCGGGATTCCCGGGAGGCCTGCCCTGCGTGGGCGTGGAACGTTGGGTCTTGGTAGAACAGATCGGACGAAACCTGTCACCGCCAGCATTGATCGCGGCAATGCTGGCAAGCAGCGAGGGGTGGGCAGGCGACGTTATGCTCCAGGAGGAAGCCGCAAAGCGCAATCGGGAGAAGGGTGATTCCGCTCCAAGGAAGTGGCAAAGGGGACGCGGCAGAGGTAGATAGCTCCTCAAACGCCTTCTAAGGGTCGCTGCGGCCACATCTTGGGGCCATGTGGCCGCTGTAAACGGCCCGAACAGATGAAACTCCGGTGCGACCGTGGGGTGTCGTCTAAGGTGTCATTACTGTGGAGTGCAATGAGAGGCGCGACAGCATTCCGCTCCGAGGTGAGTACGGTCACCCCGGGATGTGCCTCAGACATGGGAGGACTCCAGAAGCCACCAATGCGTACCTGGATCTCCTTCCGACTGCCGAAGTAGGCCGCCGCGGGTTTAGTGAGTAGACCGGTGCTCCAGGAGACCCACACACGTCCTGCGCTTCCCCAACGGAGGGAATGGTGCGAAAAGCATTCCCCGGGGGAAAAAAAGTTAGATTTTGTTAATTAATCAATGGGAAGAATGTAGTTAAGGCATGAGAGGTGAACCTTTCGTGGGAAAGCCATGCTTCGGACCATATGCCTCAGGCTCAACCGCAGTGACTTCAACCTCACAAAAAACCGGTGTTAAACAATTCTTTCCTCGCTTTTCACCTCACTCACTGTGAGGTTACCTAAATGATTAGGAGGGGAGGGGCAGCGCTTAAAGGATGGCAAAGCGGCACTTGTTGCAGTGATAATTAATTAATACATGAACTACGAAAAGATGCGCGGAATCGAATATACGCGGCATCAAAAACTTACTATTAAACCACTCTACTATAACCATAACACGGAGATCCCTCTATAACACATTCAAAAACACATTCATAATGAGCTTACAGTAGTTTTTTGTCGCTATACATATATTTTGCTATATTTTTTCAGTCAATCTTAATTCAAAAAACGCTAACACAATAACTCGCATAGTTTTCGCACCTGTTTTACCACAAACAATACCTCTTCTAGCATTCCTTGCCATAGCTTTAGCCCGCGACTTCGCTTGAGTTATTGAACATGTTTTCAATCAATTCATTGTTTTTCTGGAGAAGGAACAGTGAATGGATATGTCCAATGTTATACCTCTGGGAACGTGTATGTAAAATTTTATGACAATTAAATGAACAGTTAAGAAAGACAACCGTAACAAACAAACGAACACATTTTATTTATTTATTCTACAATTATGCACAATATAAGATGAACAATGGCGGACTTAATACACATGTATATATTACTTACGATTACAGCACGTACATCGTTCTACAATTATAAATACCAAAGTTTTTATACATAGATGTTTACTTAATTGCACCTGAACGGCTGTACGGATCTGGATAAAATTTCATCATCATCATCATCATCATCAGCCTATCGCAGTCCACTGCTGGACATAGGCCTCTCCCATTGCACGCCACTTAGATCGATTTTGGGCTTCTCGCATCCAGCTCCTGCCAGACATCTAAAATTATAAAAAAATAAAAAATTGATAAAATTTACTGCAAAGAAATAATACAGTCGGGAATAGCATTTAGGCTACTCAGTATCATAGAAAACATAGCCAAAAGCTGGACTTAGGTAAAGACTAGTCAGTAAAAAAACATAAAATAACATCTAACTCTATTTAGGTTATAAAAGAATATAATACGAGTAATATAACTTTCGAAACTCGTTTGAAACTATGTAGAGCGCCAAAATGGCGAGTGGATTCGAGTCTAGTTCAGGTACAATAGTAGCGTGTTTTGTTCACTAAATAGAGGCCGCAGTAGAGCGTCGACTTTGAATGATAGAGTCGAAAACGAAATGAAGGGGAATGACATCTTTTTAAAACAGTACATGCTGCTGCCAGATGGTCGGCTAAAAAAACTACCTCCTCATACATGGAACTCTACATACTAAGAATGTAGAGTCGATGTTTAACAACAAGCGATGTATAAGGTATTAGGTGCGTGTACGGCTGAACTTGTTGTCAGGCTAGACTATTTTCACACAGTAGCTATACGACTCTAGATAACTCGTTGTTTATATGAACATGAAAAGAATTGAAGATCATTTGGCTATGTAGAGCCGTCTTCTAATTTCATGTTGGCATTCAGTTCTATGTTCGAAGTATTAGCTCTACCTAACTCTACTACATAAAGACAAAGAAATCTTAACACTATGGAAGTTCTTTTACGTTAAATCCATCACAACTCCTTTAATATTTTTTTCTAAGATGTACAGTCAATTATCATCAACATTGCCGTGACCCAAAGACATCGTGGTCAGACTATTCGCTAACCATGGACTTGTTTAGCAATTGGCAAAGCATCCCACAACACACGACAATCAAATCTAAACTATAAGTCCATGGCACAAGAGCGCAATTGTACTGTTATCATTAACCAATGATAAGGCGCCAGCCTACGTGCACTCATAAACACAAACATATGTTTACAATCACACCGGTCGCAGCCCGCTCACCGAGAACGTACGAGTCGAGAAGTAAAATCGAGATGAATGTTTTTAAATGTAGCCAAACTAAAGGCATAACATCTGAGTACCGTCAATGAAAAAGTGGCGTTATTTCAAAATACCTATTTCGGAATTTCAGGACCGAAATCAACTTCATAACAATTAACGATACGACCCCCGCCTCTAAATTCCTCGCCCCGAGCGTGCCCGCTATACGTGGCGGTACGACGCCTTCGCATAGATAGAATAGAGAGCGGTTTCGGAACGCACCCGTACACGTTGGCGAGTGTGCGTGCGCGCGACAGTGTGCGCCGCCCGTCCGCACACGCGCACACCACCACGCCGCCGGTGAGCGCTGTTCACCGCACTCTGTGAGCGCAAACAACCATCTATAAGGCCACGCTATAGCTGACGAAGGGACGGGCCGCGCCACGTGCCGGTTACATATTTCTGTTCGTCTTTGTTCACCTTTTATTTTAGTAGGTTACTTATGGAGATAAAGTTTGATTTAATCTATTAAGATTTTTGTTTTTTAAGAAATTTCGAATATGTGTTTATAATTGTACTAGTATTATCTAATATGTTACAAGTTTAGAAGTAAATTAATATAAACATACCATGAATATAGGAATCGTATTTTCATTCATTAAAATGCCTCAAACATTCATATTCAATATCACACAAACAAAAGTTAGGGAAAAAAGCCTATGATAATGTTTGGTAAAAACAAGTGAGTTTCTGAATATGTTATGAAACCTTTAAGATTTCGTGTCTCTGCTATATCTCACAAGCAACACATTTATTTGTTTGCATATTTTACCTACTATCTATGATCAAAAACATTAAAGGTTAAGAAAACATAATATCTAAAAGATTTGAAATCTAAATTTCATACTGAAAGCATTTATTCTCAATTTATTCTCGATTTAAGGCCGGTAATGTACTAAAACAACTTAAATTGTCTAGGGAACTCATTTTTAATTTGATAACCCTGATGATCTTACAAGGTAGATACATTAGATACCTTTTCATAAAAAACATTACATAAAATAAATATAAGGACTCGTCTTGGCTGAAATGAATGACGAAAATTAATATGGTTTTAATGTGTTAATATATTAATATTAATTAATGCTATGCTGCTGCTTTGCATTCAGATCCATATTTGTACCAATTGGTAAAAAAAAATGCAGTTATAAAGAAATGTAAGTGTTTTTATCTATGTTAGACATAATATCAAAACGGCCTTATTTTGATATTTAAACTCACAAATAGATTTATCAAATATCATCAAAAGCCTTTAATATTCCACTGCTGGACATAGGCCTCTCTCTACAAAGGAGGTTTGGGCCTACTATACCACTCTGACCAGACGGATTGGTATAGGGTTTGTGTCAAATTTTCCTTTTCTTTGCGGTGCTGTTCTCCTAGGTAGTTTGCTCCCTTAATCGGCACTTACGACACCCACATGATGAATAAGGGTGTTGCAGTGACACTCTGTATTCTTAATCCGTCACCACGGGGATAATTTATTACAAACCGCTTATATATAAAAGTAGCAAAACGACGGAGAAGTAAGGAACGTCTGTTTTGGTCAATTTCTTGTAGCTTTTTGGATGGCAGGGAAATAAAATAATGTTATAATTTTTGTAACATTAATTAAAATTCTCGACATTTGTCTTAACGATGTTCCTTACCCTTTAATTTCCGCATATATCCCAGACTCAAAACTAAGAACTGTTATCATTTATTTTAACAAAGCGTTAGGCTTTTAAAATTACACCTACTTCATTTTGACAACACTCAGTAAGACAGCTAATTTCTCACCAACCTTGTTATATACGGTGCACAACCTTACCAATTTTGCATCTTAAGATTAAAGTAGATCTTTATTAAACTTAATTTGATCTTTTATCTTTTCGTAGATATTTGCAAAATTATTAAATAACAACAAAATATTAAATAACATTTGCAAAATTAATAATAACATAAATTAGAAGTAAAAATTATATTTAAACAAGATACAGTACGTACATTCGCGTGAATGCTAGTTTGTAAAATCAGGTTAGTCGAAATTATTTTATTAGTGATTAAAAGTATATGTTTTACAAAGATTATACTTGAATAGCTTAAATAGAATTACAGTTGCACGATGACAAAGTTTTTACAAACATAATTTCTGTAATAACATTTTCGATGTTTTATTAACTTAAATTTAAATAATTGTAAAAATATAATTTAAGATATTATGAAGATATTAGTGATAAAATAAATTAATAAAGTATCATACTAAAATACTAGTTGAAATAAAATTTTCATAAAAAATTGATACACAAGACATACCCGATATAGCTTTAAGGAAAGCTTACCCTATACTTTAAGTTTTAACAAAAGAACCAAATCCATAACTCTTTCTACTACTTCAAAAAATCAAAATTAAACTCCCCATACAAACTAAATCGCAAAAGCGTGAATCGGCTTGAGGCGCGGCGCGGCCGGTATATTTCCGACATAATACCGCTGCGTCGAGCGATTACTACTATATATTCTATATACATTTAATAGCTATACAGGCGCGCATAGAACTGGCCGTACTTATGTGAGCGCTACGTGGCGCACACTGGCTGCGCTGCAGCGCTGCGTGGCGCTGCTTCGTCTAACGGTAGTATGTTGTACAGCGCTGCAGCGCAACGCTTTCTAGGTAGCCGGCTTATTATTATCGTAGATTGGCGTCGGCGCAACTACACGGCGTTAGAAGGACGTTCCGTTTTAAATATCAGGTTTTATTATTATGAAGAGCGGCGCAGCGGAGTGCGGACGGTGCGGCGGACGGTTGCGTGCGATAACATTTGACATTCGTAATTAGTCGAGCGCGGACGAGTGCGGCGCAGGCGAGGCCGGCTCCGCGGACATTCCGTCGGAGTCCGCGGGGCCGGACAAAGAGGTCGCGCGTTGCGTCAGCGACCGGGCCTCGCACCAACAGTGGTTTGACAATCGCGACCCGGCGTCAACGCTCCGCGCCGCGCCGCCGCCGACCGCGCATTTCACATACACTGCCGAAATACACTAACCTTGACTACTATTGTCGACTATTTCTAAACGCACTAACACACACACACGCTTCCGTATTCTCAACACTTTGGTTAGAGATGTCGTCACTATCACTAATATATATATAAATATAAATACCTATTATGAATTTTAATATACAATTAATTAATCTCATTAAAACAACGAAATTCATTTATCGATTTAATAAGACAAAGAAAATTAAATCTTGTTTTGTATTTCTCGTTTATTTCGTTCTCTAAAATTCTGTTTACTAAATCCAAAATTTCCGAATGACGCTTAATGAGTCTGAAAATTCAACAGGGGTCGACGTTGGCAGTTTCAACTTTGGAGGGTAGGATATAAGGTTGAAAATTAATATTGTCGGTGTTGTATACGTCAGTTGATGTCAAAGAGCAGAGAGGCAGAGGGAGATAAAGCGTTGGAGGAAAACATTGCGAGCGCTACGATACCCGGGCTCGTCTCGACTCGATAAAAACACGAAATTATAACGAGAAATCGTCGTCTTCGGTTCATCGTAGGGGGCTATTTTGGACTTTAGCGTAGTTCGCTGGCTTTAGGTTCACGAATGTTACTTCATTCGTTCGGATAGCGCAATGAATTAGCTTTTATTTGTACCAAAAAGACACCAATTTCTGTATATTGCTGCGTAATTTAGTAGAGGGAGGCTTTTCTACTAATTCGTCCCAAATTGGTTGAACTTGAGTGTCGAGTATACTCGACCGTGTTCATGGATGTTCTAATACCTTTGAGTCCGACATTGTGAGCCTCGAACGGTATAAAGAATCCTTATGATCAAGGACTCATCTGTATGTCTTTTACCTTTGTTGTGTCAAACAGTATAGTCTTCGCTTTTCTTAACAAAATGGCATGTGATAATCATGTGGGAGATTGCTGGTATTATTTTAACACTTTCAACTGAGGAATGATTATTTTAAAACTGGATAGAGGTCGGTTATATACTCTGTACACCGGTTAGGGATTCGAACCCGCAGACTCGATTACTAATGAGATGCTTTAAGTACTGTGCTGCCATTAAAATACAACGACCTATTTTGTGTTGCCAGACAAATATTCATTTATTTTAATAAGAAATATTGTGATCGACATCTGGGTGGTAATGTTATTTTTATAGTTGTTGTTATTTAAGGGTATTTTTGTTTGACTTTTTGGCCACTTATTTTAGTTAAATCCGAATAGAATTCTATTAGTTTCCTTTTAGGTTAGTAAAGAAGTTTTATATAAATAATAAGAGGTAAAAAAACCAAAGAAATGTATTTGAGTTTGGACAAGGAAACTTATTGAGAGAATTTTAAAGGGTTTTATAACAGGATTTTCCTCTGAACCACTGTTCTGCGGATCACCACTGTTTTTGATTAGTAAGGTTGCCTGATATACAGTTGCTTTTTTCAATAATCGCGATATATTCGTAGTTTGAATTCTTGACATTGGTTAAACTATGTTTAATTTTGTAGGTATGTAGGTATATGCGTGTAAATGTCGTGTATTGTAATATATGTGTAATTTATATTGTTAATAACAAGCTACCCCCTCAGACTTTGTTCTGGCAATAGTTACTGGCCTGACGAACTCCAATAAAAAAAAACGTATTTCAGCGAGATCACTTTTCATAGAACTTTATTTTGGACAGTGATAGATTAATATCCAAACAGCCTTATCAACTTGAAGGCATACCAAAGATTGGCTGGATTCAGCCAATCAGACAAACGTCTGATCAAAAAAACTAAAAGAAAAACAGTAAAACTACTCAAAATATAAACAAGCGTGACCTCTCTGAGACTAAGCAATAAGCGATGACTAAGTCTCAACTCAGCAGCAAAATGCTCGAAAAATTAAAAAATAAATAAAATATTCACTTTATTCTATTAAAACAGAGCTGAAAATCGTACGTCACTGTCCATTCGACTAATTTATTTACACGACCTGGATAAGCTTAATATTTTATTCACATTTTAAAAGTGGTGGAGCATTTCAGCGCAGGTTCTGAGTAGGTCCTAATACGCACAAGATAAGTATTTTGAGCCATGCACTTCATATAGGTTGTAAGTACCTTCAAAGTCAGTCGGATCTACTTCCAGCGAAAAAATGCTACTCCTTTTTAAATTTACTAGATTTTGACCCTGACTTTGCTCACGTACAAATTATTTTTCTATCCCTTGGTAATCGTAGAAGCCATGCTTCGGCACAAAAGCCACGGCTCGACTGGCGCGATATCATGGTCTCACAGAAACCCGGTATCAGGAATTTTTTTCGTTGCTTGTCAGCTGTATATGTGACTGAGGTTACCGGAGGCCCAAGCCTTTCCCCCCCCCCCCCCCGCCTCTAATTCATTAGGTGACCCATTTGCTGGTTTGCCACCTATACCATAAAAAAAGAACAAGTCAATCTTTTCATCAGTGGTTCATTATTATTACATATCACTGATACATGTTATCCCACTGGAGGCAGTCCTTCTTGAATACGAGTGAATTTCAATGGGTTTTTCTGCAATGGTACTTCCCCAGTCCGAAGCTTCAACTTCGAAAGGGAAAAATCTAGTTTTATGATACTTATCCTTATAGTTTCTTATTATAGATGATATTAAATTTGTAATTTCTCAAACAAATTCTGGTTCAAATTTTAAAATTTTCTTTGGTTTTCGATCGTTCTAGTTTCAATATGCTTTCTTTACTCGCTGTTCTTTGTCAAGACTAATTTGTTCTAAGTTTAGATTGGGTCGTTTATGATTTCTTCGTGATGCAGGGCGGGAATTTGTAAAAAAGACTTGTCGTCCTTTACTAAATAAAGCTGAGGTGGCAAATAAGTTTTATGATTCTGATTCTAAGCCATGATTGTATGATTCTTTTTCATCAGGAGGATCATTGGCATGTTGCCAAGAATACAAAAACTTAAAAATAGAAGTAATTTTTCATTTCTTTTCTAGAAGATGGCAACACGTACACTACTTTACTATTGTTTTTTACTTAGTATCATTTCCACGTCGATCTTCTTGCGGATTTGCGGTCTTCGCAGGTTGTATAGTTCTAAAAAGCAACCTTATTTATAGTTTCCGAAGCAATATTTACAGTAAAATTATGTATATGTATATCTAATTTATTTGTTAATATATAGTGTAGGTTATAATTGTTATGAATTTTTACTATAAGTATGGAAAAAAGTAATAGAGATCATTTATTATTTCGTGCACATAGCAGTAGAGACCTTGGACAGTTGGGGTACAGACGCTAAGGCGTTTGTACATGAGTTAGGGCGCAGACTGAACGAAGTGACAGGTGACTACCGCTCAGGGTAGTTCCTGGTGCAGAGGCCGTGGCCATTGATCGTGGGCATGCAGCTAGCGTAATTGATTAATATAGACTTAAAAAAGTTAAAGATGGTTGAAAATTAAGAATTACTTTTAAAATAGGCATTCTGACTTCAACTAAATAAACCGAAATATCTTCTAGATAAATAGAGAATTAGATAAATATACAATATTCCTAGTATATTTGTTAAAGGTTCTTAAAGTTAATTAACTTAGTAATTTATTGATAAAATATATTTGTCGTCATTACGATAATGCCGTTATATATTTACTAGAGTGAGTAAGTACTACAGTGATCGTTTTGTTTTGTTTTATGAAC